AAGTATAGTTTGAATAGTTTAGATAGTATATTATGCATAAAACGTCGAGTGAGACTATTCTGCAATCTCATTTGATTTAAGATAATTGTTTAAAAGGGTTGAGCTTGTTCTTGATATTTTAATAATGTTTATTGTTTCTTTTGCTTTTCCGAAATAGGAAAATGTTTTATTAGCAATAAACAGGAGGGTAAAATTATCATGGAAGCATGATAAAATCCATCATTGTAGCATAAAGGAAAGTTATTTATGATTTGTACATGTGATTCGCGAAATTCAGAGTAGTGAAGATTCAATATGACAATGCTTATATTCGACGTGCACATTTACACACCAACCAAATAAGTATGATTAATTACTTCTATTTACAGTTTCAAAAGATTTTGAATCCAAATGGCCCCACGAATGTGCCAAAGGTTATTTAAACGACGGCTACTGATGGTGTCCTTCCATTTGTGAGAACTCCCAGTTGTGAGACACATTAATTAATGGTTCAGTGCACTTAGGTGGTGTTTCCACATCCCTACAATGAAAGTGGGACCAGCCCAGCCCAGTACCCACAGGAGGCATAGTTCATTGATAAGTTGATTAATGAAATAGATTATCAAAGATTATATTTACACAGAAGAAATAGTTCATTGAATATTTTATTTATTCAGAAGAATATGTAATTATGATAACAAATTTTTATTGACTATTATGATCATATTATAAACATATTTTATTATTATTTATGAAAATGAATTGGGATTGGTGAAGTATTACTGCTTATGTTAAAACCGCTCCCATGCAACATAAAATATAAAATGAAATGGAGGATGAGACGTCATCGATATTGACTATTGCATAAATATATCGGCGTTTGGGTCGCTAGATCCGAGCCTGAGGCAGCAATGAACGAATTGACAAAAACAAGAGCCATAATTAAGATCAATATAAATCTTGTTTTCGGTTTTTGTAATTAGGTTTTAAAATTCTTTGAGACTGCATGACTCTTTAGTTTTTGGTAGGGCATTCCATAAATTTATTGTGTCGGGTAGAAACGGTTTGGCATAAGGGGCATTTCGACTGTAAATTTCAGAGTTATTTCAGAGTTATTTCTTAAACTATAGCTTGTAGTTTCGGAGACGGAGTAAGTCTGAGTACTAGTTAAATTAATTTCTCTTTGATCACGAAGTTACCTACACAAAGTGTTTAATTATTAAAGACATTTACCTGAGTATGTTAATCAATTTATCTTATAAAGATTCATTAAGTTACCTCCACAAGATTCAGTTACATAGCAAATCAGTAATTAGCTAGGGTGAATCCATTCCATCAGACAGGGGAGTATGGAATGTTTTCGTTGTTAATTACCTACTCCACTGTCTCATAACTGGGAGTCTCACAACTGGGATAAACCCTACTGATAAACCAATGGAGTGAAAATACCTGTGTGGTACCCCACACTGACACGAACTAACACATGCACGTGCACGCCTTAACCACCTGGCAATGCAGTTTAATGTATGGGTGCTGAGATTATCGAAATGCAGTTGCAAGTAAAGTGCTATGACGCGTTTAGACATGAAATCATTGCTGATAAATCCTTACCTCACGAAGGAGTCAAAATTTATGAGCGAATCACAAATTGGGGGTCGCTATTTAGCGATCTCACTTGGAGTCAACAGGTTGTCATGTGTTTGTAATCATTGACGCCCAGTCACACTGAAGATTCTAATTGAATTGCACGACACTGTGAACACAACAAACACCCACGAGTTTGTTTAACCAGCTGCACAATCACCACAGCTGTTCCACTGTAAATGGCTTTTTAGATACTACCCTGTGTAACAATTATTTTTTTCATCCAAAACTGTGTTCCACAAGAGATATCGCTTGTGTGAGATCAGACGATATCTCCTAGGAGATATCGTTTTGACAGTAGATTTTGTACAATGCCCTGACAATGCTATGACGTCATGAACTTGATGACGTCACAATGCTATGACATCGCTGCACTGCAAATCTAATGGCAGTACTGTGTTCAGAGATGTACATTTTTCATTGAAAACTAATGAAGAGTGATTTTTGATGATAAATAGAATCTCACCCTCGTGTCTTCTGATATCAAATATATCAACACTCGTTGATAAAAGTAAAAATATCCTCGGCAAGCCTCGGATATTTGTTACTTTATCAACTCGTGGTGATATATTTGATATCAAAAGACACTCGGGTGAGATTCTCTATGAATTGACTGAAATCTCCGAAATCCGTCATAAGCTCAGTAGCATTGATCTATGATGACTCAGCTGCAGAAGAAATCTTTGATCCGAGATATAATACCTAATCGATAAAAGAACTGTCGAGGGGTGCAGCCACGTATGTGTTGCGGGGATAGCCATAGGTATGACAAGCTTGGAGATATGGGTTTATGAATAATATAAAGGCCTCGAAAATGTTTTTTAAGGAAACTATTTATATAACTGTTTTTTTCAAGCCCATATGTATGCTATGTAGGTTGATTCTGATCAGTAAATACGAATGGTGTTTCAGCATTTGCAGTGAAACTACAGAACATAGGTACTGAAATGTCAGTCGTCCTTAAAGAAAACTCGTACACTATTGCAATCAGTTCATTTCGATTTGTAATCTAACTGTTCCATACAGCAGCTTAGGGGAGTAAACCTACAACATCCGACATAAACCTATATTGCAATTATTTACACGACCCACGGGTGCACAACTTCCTTGCTGCATTACCAATTTGGCATTGGTTGCTAGGCACCTTTGGAACGAGGCCCCCTCGGATTCTTTTTATCTTTGTGGGGTGGAAGGAGTCTTCACGGCTTTCAATTTGATTTTGTAACAAATATATAACGTCAATGGCAGAGAATATTGAATCTCGATCATTAAAAAACAGGTTCCTTAAAAGGATGGTGTAAGTTGTTTCAGTTGTGTAGTATGCATAACAAGGCGAGAGAGACTGTATGCTGCAGTCTCATTAATTGAAGGTCCCGTGAAGATCTGGGTTAGAACTGGTCTTCAGCAACCCATGCTTGTCTCCCCGTGAAGATCCTGGTTAGAATTGATCTTCAGTAACCCATGCTTGTCGTAAGAGGCGACTAACGGGATCGGGTGGTCAGGATCGCTGACTTGCAGGACACATGTTATCGTATCCCAATTGCGTAGATCGATGCTCATGTTGTTGTCTGGCAAAGACTCAATTATTTACAGACTGCCGCCATATAACTGGAATATTGCTGAGTACGGCGCTAAACAACAAACCAAACCAAACTAAACACTCCAGTATCAGACAATCTATTTGACTGAGGGCAAGAACGCTAAATGCAACGTTATATTTTATCTCAGACAGGTGAGGTGCAACAGGGGCATACGTTCTGTCCAATACAACAAGGTGGCGGTTACCAGAGATTACAGTTAGGCTCCCCCTTGAGCTTGACCTGCACGGTGCCGTGTCGCCCATAAATCCAACTTCCTGCAGTAAGGATTAACCAGCAACGATTGGAGATTTCCTGTGATAACGCATTGTACGGCTACAGAAACTGTTTAGCACTTTACTTCCTTCAAATTTCCCTGAGATAAGATAATGGCAAACGTGAATTTGTTTGCTCAGGCAGTCAGAAAAAATATATATGATCAGTAAATTTGTCTTTCACTCACTGTATCGTCAAGATATAATGTAATAATGAAGCTGTTTCTTACTTAGTTATATGCACGCACTGATCACATCTTAATTAGTGCAAACAGTGATATTAAAGTGAAATCTATTTGCCTAGAGGCGAACATGGGTGCTATCGAGTAAAGAAATGAAAGTGACAAAACACATCCCACATTTATAAGAAATCCCTGCTGGAAGCAGAGTCACGTCTACAATTTATCACAGGTATGTGTTTATGAATCATTTGAAACATATGCAGAGGTTTATCACTTGGAACGGGAACGTGTAGTACAAGTCAAAATATTAATTGTATCGGGCATCATTTTTGTCACTGATTTGTCTAATTTGGAAATTTCCTTTACATGGCCACCATAAATAGTTTTGGGAGTTTCACTGTTGTAACCTATATAAACAGCCTATCTAGCACGAGCCGTATGACGCTCGTTGAAATCTTGATAACATCATCATGCTCGATGCTTGTCTTATGTTTACCATAACCGTTAATCGTGACATTATAGAGAGTGTTTACTTTAAGATAAGTATACATGATGCTTATTATCCCGAAGTTAATTTTCTCTACACGGTTAACATTGAAAACACAAACAAAAGATACATGTACATACGACCACAAAAACACCCATACGTATGTTAGATAGTACTAAAATAGCTGGAAACAACGCCCAATATATGAGGTAAAGAAATAATGAATAAATAATAATATTTTTAAGATTTAGAACTATGGTGGCGACATTAAAATTATGCTGAGAAACATTAGCACTAAATGTATATTAATATAACAGTTTGAAACAATTGATAAAGTATTTTAAAATGATTAATAATCATAAAAAATAATTAATTTAAAACACTGATGCTTGCTGATGAAGAATTTCGAGCCGTGTGTATTCTCAATATCGGCGTGCGCAGTCGCCGGCCATAAGGAAGATGTTGAAATTCTGGAAATAGGACATGAGTGCTGTCATTTAAAATTGTACGTGCTTTCTTTTCAATTTGCTGCTTGTAAATAGGGTCGATATCTTGCGTTTTAACTCCAGACATTTCCCTTGCTGTGTTAACGATTTTGGAAAGTTTACATGAAAAGTTTACATTACAGACAGACCCCATACATGCAATGTACATTCTAAAAAGGAGGCTTGTAGAATAACGACAATATGATTGTGTCAATCATGAAATGACGAAGACGAGGAAATCTTTAAACTGAAGACTGTCATCACAGAACTAGCAACAGGAATGATGATTGCACAGGCCTTATTGGCGAAGCGTTTTTCCCTGTCACTGACGTGATTTACCATACAGGCGGTCGTTATTTAATCTTTTGTAGGCGTACCCGTCGACAATATTCATTCTACTCCGCGTACTGACAAGAAACAGCCGCTGACGAAACTTCCAGCAAAAATGTTTATGAAGAAATGGTTTTTGTGTCTGATACTTCTCAGTGTTGGATGTTTACTTGTAATTTTCATCAATGTGAGCAGTTCATCATCATTAATTTATTTAAAGAAGTGGATCCAAAATTATACAAGGTAAGTGTCGCCAGTTTCGTGATCTTAAAGGCAACTTTGTTGAATGTTGATTTGATCACAATGGGTTAACAAGTTAGTCGCCCATTAAGATATACCGACGGTTCTCCACAAGATTCAATTTGTTTTACATAAGGATGTAAACTTTTACCTTGCTTGAACATCGTAGAATGAGTAAGAATTTTGGTTGTATTCTTATTTACTGAAAGGCACTGGTAAATGTGATTAAATTTAAAGTCTTATCTTGATAATTCGTTTTTCTCAATCCCAAATTTACAGAACGTTCATTACATATTACGTTTGATCAATATTTACCAAACCTTCGCTTTAGTTTGGTTGCTCCATATAATGCTAACCAGGTGTGTTTAAATACAGTTATTTTATCTAATTTTAGCAGTGAACTGTAATATGACATGTGCTGTTGTTTGATCCTGATATGAGGGTTCCATAACATAACATTCTTACATGCCCGGTTTTGCTGCTTAAATCCATCAACAGGACAATCTGTGATCTGCCTATATACATTATCACGTTTTTGAATACTAGTATTTAAAATATTTACATTTGATTCTATTCCTGGTCATTTTCATAAATCATAATTTGTTTAAAACTTTGATGAAGTTTTGCATATGATTAGTAGGGATGGGCGATAATAGCGGTTAACCAGTATATTCCAATTCGAACTTCTCAATACGATATATTGAGGTACACTTTTCACGAACCGGTTCACCCAATACGATCGGTAATTTTCGTGATATAGTTAAAACTACCAATAACATTTGCATTTCCTTTATATTATTATACATAGTTTTGAGAATGTTTATTGGTCATATAATTGCATTTGCGTGACTTTTAAACCATATAAATAAACAAATTAGATTGGTACCGGCACAGGTAAAGAAGGATAAACAAACTAACGCTTTTTCTCGAGTTCCAAACGTTAGAGCGAAATGTTCAGTTTGGAAACATTTTCTATTGATCTCTTGTACAATTACATCTGAGTCATGACAGTAGCCATTGGCATTGTTTCAAAAGAAAGAAAAAATAGTAGTTTCATTACCTTAACCCATGTGTTACACTTTCACAATATATTGCAATACTTATTGCAATACGCCAACACATATCACAATATATCGCAATACGAACACTTTGGCAATACCCAACCCTAATGATTAGTTATAATTAGTAGTGTCACTCTGCATATATCAATGATAGCGCGTTATAGCAATTTCGTTTCACTTTACTCTATCGTGATATAGCAGTTTTGTATCATACAATGCTGTCATTTAGTGATAATATCGATGTTTTATGACTATGTAGCGATTGCCCGTCTCGGCCACAATAGGGGCAGTAAGACAGCCTTGTGGTTAAAGTGTTCGCTCGTCACGTCAAAGACCCGGGTTCGATTCCCCACATTGGTACAATGTGTGAAGCCCATTTCTGGGGTCACCCGCCGTGATATTGCTGGAACATTGCTAAAAGCGGCGTACAACCAAACTTACTCACTGACTCAGCCACAATACACTGTCAACAATGGTGTATAAATCAAAAGAGAACGTACGTTCGTCCGTATGTTAATCTTACCTCCGTAGGGAGTGCTGGTGCACTAAGGAATCCCAGTAATAACGAGAAGCAAAGTGTTCTATGCTTTATGTATATTGTGGCCTTTTAAACAGTTTTTAAACAATGTGAAATACATATTCTGTATTGATATTTAAATTAACTGACCATGGACACAAGTCACTTTATTGAAAAAAGGGTATATTTTTTACAAGAACAGTTTATACATTATATGAAATACATTTAGAATGTGAACAGCGTCGAAAAGCGACGGAAAAACAACTTGAGTATGGCAGATGTTTATATATAGCTAGCACGTCATGATAAAATGGACAACACTGTACAGAACATAACAATATATCACCTATTCTCACGAAATGTGCACCAACTGATAACTGGAAATGATAAAAATTAAATTTCTTCTTTTTAAGTGAAAAGTCATTTTATTGATAGAACATCATTTATTGTTCACAAAATTCAAACTATCAAAAGTCAAATGTCAAGGAGAACACGAAGATCGCCAATCATGATTGGGTACACTTGTCACTAGTTAATTTGCATACATTAATCATCAAACTTACTATACAGGTTTATTTAAACTACGTGTTACTGGAAATATAATATTATTTCACATAAGTTTTATCTGTATTATATTGTGATAAACAACAAATCTTGGCCATTATACAAACTGAATACAATTTTTGCAATCTACGTTACAGTAGCTCTACCAAATCTTTTTAGAAATTTAGAAAAATTACTGGTGAAATGTTGCTATTCTATTACACAGAGTTACATTAAAAGATACAAGAGCTATTAACTGTTTCTTCGTTTCATTCATTGTATAAAGTACAGACAGTACATAAGCACAGTGAAAAGTTATCCAGACTGTAAACACGTTACCTGTTTAGTTTGATGTAGAATATCAACAATGATAAGCCAATTGAAAGTAAATTATCATTTAACGTTTGGAAGAGTTCATGCCATAACTTAGATCCATAAAACTGTCTTGCCTGAGTAGCCGGTGTTCTCCCATTACGCAGAGAGGCAGTTCGCAGACGCCTTAAAACAACAACATTAGTAGCCCAGATAGTGTGTGATCAGTTCTACTCAGGTAAGACAGTCACTGGACATTCGTGCACTTTTCACTCATGCTACTGAACAAAATGTCCGTCATGCCATGTGCTTTTGGCGCTTGGATGACTGCGCCAATAATACTTTTGGAACCAGTGGACAGTCAATGCCAACGGTACGTAACTATTGTGTACAATCCGACAAAACGATGACGCTCCTTTGGAAATGACGTCACGTAGATTATATAACGTAGATTACACAGACATCCTTTAGGCCCCACACACAGTGTAAAATGTAAAATAAGAGCATCTCCTTCCCCTAGTTGCTACTACTGAATAGGTCCGTTCATTGTGTGACACTGGATGTACAGGTTTTATCTAATGGTGGTCACGGAGATTACATCCTTAAAAAATCTCTGCAACTATAAACCTGTGAAGCATCATGGTGAGAAATCGGCTGAAATTTAGTAGCTATGAGATTGATATTGTATTGTTCCAACATAAAACTGCAAATAAGGAATACTATCTAATGAATACATATATTATGTATACTAATTATATGGTCATTATCATGGGGTAACGTAGATTACACTTTTCGGAGACATACATAAAGTCTAAAAAGATTAAATCAGATGAAGATATGTTCTAGGTACGGACGAAAGGGACGACTATAGTACTGTTGGAAATAGAAACAAACTGTTTTTAGGCTGTGACTCTGTATCCCTAAAATTTTCACAATTGCAAATAGCATATGTCGAAATAACCCACTTCGGCCTAACTGGGCGTTCAGTGGGATTCGTAATACGATATCCAGAAAAACATGTTTACTCGTAAAATCAGGCAAAACTCACCTGGCATGAAATGCACGTGCTGCCTACAGGCACAAGGGGTCATCTCAAAGATATTTTGTGCTTTTTCATGTGTGTTGACTATGTCTCATCTATTGATTAACATCTTATGTGTCTTTCTTTCATAAAGTTTATGTTGAGATATGTAAAAGAATATGATAATCGAAAACTATAGAAACGCATCGTAGTATATAAGAGGCATGACCACCCGAATATCGACAGGACTGGATATTATTTGTAAATTGTTATGACGTGCCGTGTACCTCCCCAGTATAATTGCCCTGAAGGGTTATCTTATCTTAGCTGATATCTCTATCCCCAAACCCGAGCCCAGGTTTTGCTTTTGAGGCGACCCCTCCTATCTGTCTGTATTTATAGTCACAATGAGACTGCATGGTAGCTAAATCCTTAATAGTTTCAGCATAAAAGTTATTATTTTTTACGCCAGCTATCGTTTATAATGAATCTACGTCTAATTTCAAATTGGGCATTTAAAAAGTTTCCTTTGTAATACAATATCGTTGCACACTAATTTGCATAAAGCCATGGTCTGTTCCAAATAAGTCTTTTTGGACTTAGTAAAAACCGCATTGCTCATTTCTGCACTAATTTCCCCTCAGTAAAGTCCTTTTTCTCCGTATCCTATCTCTCTATCACTGAGACTGTAGTTAGGCCGAACTTAGTTTAACAGACATTTCACACTTGCACATATTAACTACATAAATTGTAGAGATAAATGAGAGAATACAGTTTTTTTCTATTTCCGACAGTACTTAAGATGACTAATTACTTTAAAATATTCACTCAAAATGTTATACTATCATTGGAGACATGCACATTTTGGTGGTTTTGACTAACTTTTTACCCTGAGTCACACAAACGAATAACAGATCATTAACATTCATATGTCTCGGGTACCTACTAAGCCAGTCGCCTAATATAAACATGAAATGAACAAGTGAAATCATTAAAAAAAAAAATTAATGTGGAGACACGTAAAATTACAAATGTTGCACATTTCGTGAGAATAGGGGATATCAACAGGCTCTACATCGCCAGCAACTGAAGGCAGATCACCATTCAGCTGGAGGCCATGGGGACCTATCGTGCCTTTGCTACCTGCATGGTCTCCTGTTGCATTTACATAATCCCTTCAGGTATTGTCGAAATTTAGACAAACATTACAAGTCCATATTTTCTACTTTTGAACAGTGGTAGATATAAAATACTTTGATTGGGGTTGGTCAGTGGCAGCCTCTCATGGGGGCAATACTGTCACTGTACTTTAATCCCGTCGAGGACACGGCAACTAACAATCTCAAGCAATAATTATATTATAATATCTACATGTAACATAACACAGTTTGTTCATCCGAATGTGTCAGTTTCGATTTCAGGTACAAAAACAATGTATAGATGAGAAACCACATTTACTATACATATTCCCTTCAAAATTTCTTCTACAGCAGCATCAGCAATCGTGACTACTACGACAGAATAGAAACTTACAAACATATGAAGGGGGACAGGTGGATTGTGCTCACAACGATTGCTCACCCTACTCCTGACGTCCAGTTTCTTGTCAACATTCCTGGATGGAATGTAGTGGTGGTTGGTGATACCAAGACCCCGGCCAGTTGGAGGTGAACATAATAGACTTACATTTATCATATATTGTGTGATGGAGGACATAAAAGTACCAAAAGTCCTTTTTATCTCAGTAAGGTGGCCTAAAATTGTTCTGTTGCGGTCTACTGCCTAAGTTCCATTTATCCTATATAATATACAGAAATATTCTGTATTTTAAGGTTGATTGGGTTGTTTTATACTTAAACAGTGACACTTCACTTACACTTTTACTGCTCTTTATGGATAAACGTTTGAAAATTAACCAATTCCCATCGCGATATGGCTGCAATATTGCCGATGATATATACATTTTGAACTCACTCTGTCATAGAATATAAGGCATAGTGTTATGGATGAAACAAACCAAGGATATGAATTATGACAGTGACTGAAAAACGTAGTTAATATCTCAGGCATCTTGTGACGAGAACAGTTCAGTCGTAATGTCACAAATGACAGTAAACATTGTCAATCAATACGACTCTGAAAAACAAACCATTACGAACTCTGAAATCTCCTGTTATCGTTTCTCCACAGATTACCAAACTGCGTGTATTTAAGTTTAGAGGATCAACAGAAAATGCCTTTCGAAACAGTAGGTTTTCTACCAAGAAACAGCTACGCAAGAAAAACAGCAGGATATCTGTATGCTATTTCTAAAGGGGCACAAATCATATACGAGACCGATGATGACAATCGACCACAAGACTTACTAAAGAATTTCGTCCAAGAAAGAACAATGTGGGGATTGGTCTATAAAGGAGGATCACGCTTCAATCCATACAGACATTTTGGACAACCAACTTTGTGGCCAAGAGGCTACCCTCTTAGTTCCATTGGAGAAAACATCTCTACTGAATATGTACTGAATCACTGGAAAACACCATCTATTCAACAGGGTGTGGTCAACGGTGACCCGGATATGGATGCCATTTTAGACTGACCCGAAACAAACCCACTCCCAGCTCAATGTGACCTTTGATGACCGAGCTCCACCAGCAATTGTTCCAGCTGGTGTATTCTCTCTCCCTTTAATTCCCAGAATACCCTTTTCCTCTATGATGCATTATGGGCTCTCTTGATTCCAACTACAACCACGTTCCGAGTATGTGACATCTGGAGAGGCTACTGGGCTCAGAGACTTCTTTGGGAGATGGGAGGAAACCTGGGATTCTTTCCACCAAATGCTTACCAAAAGAGGAATTCACATTCCTACATCCGGGATGCTGTGAATGAAAAGGATTTGTATTTTCAAACTGAACGTCTTGTCGTCTTCCTCCAAACGTGGACATGTGAACCAGTCAAACCATTCTTTGCCTGCATGACTAAACTGTCTATAGACATGGCACATGAAAAATTTTGGAAGGCAGCGGATGCTGACCTCATTAACTTCTGGATCAAAGACCTCAAAGCTCTGGGATACAAAGAACCAAGACGAATTCCATTCGGTTCGCTTCAAAACGGCGTTCAAGTCACACTAGATCCGAAATTGACAAACCAAACACGCCTGACAAATCAACAGGTCAATGTCACATTCTGGGCAGCTGAACAGACACCACCTCAAGTATATTCCACAGGCAAGGTGTCACCAAATGTTGTCTCACACATTAGTGAAATAGCTTCTTATTGTAACAATCATACCAATCATTCGTTTAGCATGTTAGAACTGAACGGTCTCAATCAAATTAATACATATCCTAACCTTCTATTAATTGTTGTTTTCAACTTTCCTCATTATGCTAACTTGGCAGTTCTTGAGACAATGTACAGCTTGCACTTCCCGCACATTGTTTATTGTGGAACTAACAAAGATAAATTTCAAAACTACTCTAAGCCTCTCGGCAAGCATTTGACCTTTGTAGAGGTTGACATTGGCCATGGATGGTTTGCTCAGAACTGTCTCATTCAAGCCATGAAAATGCAATACACTGTTGATGGATATTTATACATTGGTGACGACGTATTGCTTAATGTGTGGAATATTCATACCCTTCCTCTAGACAAACTCTGGCTTGTACATTCATCGGTTTTGCAACCCTCTGAAAAAACGAAATGGCCGTGGTTTTCACATCCTAAAGTTGGTTTAAAAACGTACCAGACTGCCCTTGCAGCTTTGAAAGTGACAGACGAACATAAGTATAATACTTTCAAACAAATGATATCGACAAATTCAAAGAAAAATGATTCCGTATTTTATGGCGCATCAGACATTGCTTATGTTCCTGCAATATACAAAAATGAGGTACAGTATTATATGGAACATTTTTCAAAATTCAATCTGTTTGTTGAAATCATATTTCACACGGTGTTTGGAGGTACCGGGGAGTGGGTAAACGTGGTAAAGTTACCGGGAACATATTTATGGTATGATGGGAAAAGGGACCATTTTGAAAAGTATTACAACAAGCATAATGTTTTTCTTCATCCTGTTAAAATATCTAAATTACATTCTGCGCCAGAGGGAAGAAGGTTTTTCTGTGATACATTCCTGCCTTTAACGTTGTATGACTGAACGGGAGAAGAATCTACCAAGTTTAGCGCACCTGGTTAATAGTCAGGTGATGGCATGTTAGTCCTTTGAGTGTCCTAAACATCTTGTTCTCAGAAACAATAGAGATTAATAGATATCAAATTGCACATGTTTGTTTCCACCAATGGTTACTTCCCAAGCTGTCAAATAGGTTCGATTTCGTTTGACTGGTGCCATCATGTCGTCATATTTAAAAAACGTATTTTTGTGCCATTACTTTGTCATTCTGTTTTCAAAATAAGGTGTAGTGTGTACACTTGGTTAGCAGTGAGCAGTTTGTTTCCTAGGATTTCAAGTGGTGAGACTAGGCATGTTAGTTATACGAACTCTAACTAACTGCTGAATCAACTCAGAACATTTCGAGTCTCGATATAGCCGACCTGTAGTCAGAGATACATTCCACCATGTTTTCCCGTACACATGTGACTTTTCAGTCGACCCATGATATCTTTACTACTTGTATTGAACACTTACAGAACCGTCTAGCATTATGAATTTACTTCTACTCATCATGTATATAATGGTTATAACTTCGTTTGACGTGTTGCAGAATTTCGTTATAATGGCAGAGTCAGGTCTCCTACCGCCACCAACTTTGAACATGAACGCTAGTGACTTGAGTAATGAATTGTTTGAAATAGCCAGTGGAGTTGATGAAAAAGAAGATAGAGTGAGAAGCGCAACGTTACTTCATTGTTTGGGACTTCCATGTCAACGTATATTTCACACGTTACCTGGTGAAAAAAACTCTTATGCTTCAGCTGTAACTACATTGGAGGGTTATTTCATTCCAAAGAGGAACATTGTTGCTGAACGTTACAGATTTAGGTCCAGAGCACAGAGTTCTGATGAAAGCATTGATGTTTATGTGACAGATTTACCTGAACTTGCTAAAACATGTGATTTGGGTACTTTGAATGATGAAATGCTTCGTGATCAGATAGTTGAAAAGTGCTATTCCAAACATTTGCATTTCCAAGATAATTTGACTTTGGAGTCAACTTTGAAGATAGCTAGATTATATGAGATGGCTATGGAGAATTCAAAAACATTTTGTGAAAACTTTAACTACTGTAAATAAGGTTAAGGTGTCTTCGCAGCCTGCTAAACCATTCCAGTGCTATAGATGTGGTTATTCTGATCATCATCCATCTGAATGTGGATCTATTGGTGCAACTTGTCTATGTTGTAAAAAGAAAGGTCATTTAGCTAGAGTGTGCAAAAGTAGAAAGTCTAAGAAACCTGAGGCTAGTGTTTCTGCTTCACACAGGTCTAGAGGTAAAGGAAAGAATAAATCTAAGCAGCATGGTTATAAGCCAAGGTTAAATTCAGTCTTTGTAGAGGACGGTGATTCTGATTCATTTTCTGAAGATGCAGAGTTTGTACACTATCTTGACTCAGATTGTTCAACTACTGTTGATGTAAATGAATGTAACATAACCATGTATGTTGATTCTGGATCACTAAACAACATTATTTCTTTAACAACTTATGATAAGTGTTTCAAACATGTTCCTTTGTCGAGAACTGCTAAGACGTTCAAAGGATATGGACAGTCAAAACCATTGAACTGTTTGGGATATTTTGTTGCTACACTCAGACATAGTGGTAAAGAAGTTTCTGACAGAATCTAGGTTATGTCTGGTAATCAAGTGTCATTACTGGGAAGAAAATCATGTTTGGATCTTGGTGTGATAAGCATTACCACTGTTCATTCACCTGTTGATATTGACTATCTGTTTGATGAATATGAAGATGTGTTTGATGGTATAGGTATGATCAAGGGTTTTACTCATACTATCAAGGTAGATACTATCTGTTCCTCCAGTTACTCAACCTTTGCGTCGTTTGTCATATTCTATGGTTGAAGCTGTGAATTCAGAATTGGATCTAATGTTGGATGATGACATTATAGAACAGGTTCATGGTGCTACACCTTGGGTATCTAACATTCATTGTGTACCAAAGCCCAATTCATCAGAGATAAGGGTGTGTTGTGATCTTCGTGAGGTGAACAAAGCAGTTGTTAGGAGAGATTTCCAATTCATACGATTGATGATACCCTTCATGCTTTGAAATCGGCTAAGTACTATGTTAAGTTGGATTGTAAGCGAGGGTTTTGGCAAATTGAACTTGCTGAAAATTCCAGAGACATTACCAGTTTTGTTACTCATAGAGGATGTTACAGATTCAAGAGATTACCATTTGGTTTGAACTCAGCATCAGAGGCTTATCAGAAAGCTATGACTTATGTTTTTCAAGGTATAGGTCTTGAGAAATACATTGATGATTTGATCTGGTATGCAGAAACATTGGATGAACTAGTTCTGAGATTAAGAAAGATTTTTTCAGAGGTGTAGAGACTACAATCTGAGGTTGAATAAATCAAAGTGTAAACTTGGACTAACAGAGATTGAAGTGTTAGGACATGTTGTATCACCTTCAGGAATTAAGCCTAATCCAAAGAAAGTACAAGCAGTAGAATTAGCTTCCCCACCAACGAATGTGTCAGAACTTAGATCATTTCTTGGTACGTGCAACTATCTCATGAAGTTTGTGCCTAATTTTGCAGAATGATGTGAGCCATTGAGAAAGTTGACTAGAGCTAGTATTCCGTGGAAGTGGGATGCTCATGTTGAAACTGCATTCAATACTTTGAAGAATGCTGTTAGTGAAAGTGCTTCTTTAGCATACTATGATTTGAATGCTACTACAGTTCTCATTACTGATGCTAGTCCAGTTGGTCTTGGGTCTATATTGTTACAAGAACATTCAAGTGGTCCCATGAAACCGATAGCTTTTGCAAGTCGTTCTCTCACTGAAACAGAGGAGGTATTCACAGATTGAACGTGAAGCGTTAGGATGTATTTGGTTAGTTGAACATTTTCACAAATATCTGTGGGGTAGGAAGTTTGTTTTGCAAACTGATCATCGTCCTTTGATTTATATGTTGACTCAACAGAAAACTGTACAGTTACCTCCACGCATTCAGAGATTTGCTTGGAAATTGCAAGGGTATGAATTTGACATTGTTCATATTCCTGGAAAGAGTAATATTGCTGACTTTTTGTCTAGACAACCATTGTCATCAAAGAAATCTGAAAATCTTTATGTCAGGTCTGTGGTTGATACTTGTGTTTTGGATTTGAATTCAGTTTCACTGGATGAGTTGAGAGATGCTACTTTGCATGATTCAGAGCTTGTAAAATTAGGGAATTCAGTTGATTCTGGAATTTGGAATTGTGAAAGTGAATATTTTAGATACAAAGATGAACTCTCTATGTTTGAATCATTATTTTGAGAGGAGAAAGAATAATTGTGCCAACTGTGTTGAGAAAGAAAATTCTGGACATTGCACATGAAACTCATCAAGGAATAGTCAGGACAAAACAGTTTCTACGAGCAAGATTCTT